GTTTTACAAAAAACGGTAAATGCCGAACGCTTATTTTGTTACTTTTTCGGACTAGTATGAAATGGACTCGTAGTGAAATGGAAATTAATTTCTAAGCCATTCCAAGGTAACTTAACACCGCTTTTTTTCGACAATGCATAAATAACATTGGATTGTAGTCAACTACTTTATTTTATTATTAGTTGCTTATAGTTTAATATTATGGAAAACCTATACTAAAAAAATTATTAAAATGACAAATGTTTGGGTAATATTTATAAACATAAAATGAATTTATCTACGTCAGTGAGTTAGGAAGCTCTTAACTCACGCATTTTGAGTGAGTTAAGATCTTTTTAACTCACTCAAAAATTATTCATTACCGCACTCCTGTTTAGATGACTACCAAAGAGAAAAAAATATTTTCTAAAACATTTATTTTGCACTAAATACCTACTAAATACAATTAAACTGTTCTATTGATAATAATTATAAAAACATGAAAACTTGTTTATTATACATGTTAATGATACAGTTTGAACAATCTTTCAAGTAAATGCCTTATGAAGCATATACAGGGTGGTCCGAATTGTATTCCGGAATCTTCGGCAGCGTATTCTGCAGATAAAAATAGTTAAAAAAGTTCTTATAAATGTATGTCCTAAAATGCTTCCTTTCAGAGATACAGGGTGTAGAAGTTTCATTTTTATTTCGATTTTTTCTAAATAATTTCTGAAGTAACGTCAATATTTGGATGAAAATTGGTGTCTGGGAGTTTTTTGACATGAGAAATTTGATTTTGGTGTCAATATAACTCCTACTGGTAGAGGGCGCCACCTACATGTGTTTTAACTGTTTTGAAGCGTAATAACTTTTTGTCTGTACCTGTATAAAACTACTGAGTGAAAAAATATACATCTCTGTGACTTTTTACGTAAAAAATATCTCTTTCTAAAAATCGCTACGAGCAACAGTTCTTAAGATATTTAGAATGGAAATAGACAATACATGTCATTATTGACGAAAAATAAACACGTTGAGAAGATAGTTATTTCACTAAAATAATAAATTTGGGAAATTTTTATTTTTTTAAATTAATCATAATTTGTTCTGCAAAAAATGATGATAAAACAGTTTCTATTGAACTTTTAGCACAAAAACATTTCAAATTTATGATTTCAGTCTAATAACTATTTAGTCAACATGTTTAATTTATGTCAATGATGACAGGTATTGATAATTGCGATTCCAAATATCTCGAAAACCATTACTCGTAGCGATTTTTACCAAGAGACCTTTTTCACGTAAAAAACGTCGCAAATGTATATTTTTTCACTCTGTAGTTTTATACAGGTACGGACGAACAGTTATTACGCCCTCTACTAGTAGGAGTCATATTGATATCAAAATCAAATTTCTCATGTCAAAAAACTCCCAGACACCAATTTTCATCCAAATATTGACCTTACTTCAGAAATTATTTGGATAATATCGAAATAAAAATAAAACTTCTACACCTTGTATCTCCGAAACGAAGCATTTTTGGACATACATTTATACGAACTTTTTTATTTATTTTTATCTGCAGAATATGCTACCGAAGTTTCCGGAATACAATTCGGACCACCCTGTATATTCATTTTAATAGATATCATAGTACGTATCATTGTTTCTATTCAATGAAATCAAAGCTCAAAGATACGAAGGCTTATAAGTAGCGGATAAATTGGAAAAATATGTTATGAGTACCTTTTCATTTCCATAGCTGGTGTACTTTTTTTTCGGTGCACCATTTTTCATACTTAGAGTATATACAGAGAAGACCAGGCTACTAGTAACATAGCAAGTTGCCGGACGAATTTACGTTTACCCGTTTTGCGTTCGTACTCGAGATTGCCGGCTAGTCGGCTGGTCAGGCAGTACGCAGTTGCAGTTGTGCTTGGACGGGTCGGTCGTGACAGACTAGGAATACGACGCGAGGAGTGCCGAGTATTTATTATTTTCATTTTAAGTGTTTACTTTCACTTAAGGTAACATTTAAAATGAAAATACTTAAATATTTATTATTTGAGTGTGTTTACAAGCCAAAACTAAAAATAAATAAATTCTCTAAACCCCCAAAAAAAACTAAAATATTACTCTAAATAAGAAAAAGTTATAACAAGTGTTCAAAAAGACCATCTTCTTGCGCTAGACAGAAGCCTAGGCGGTCGTAAATCCCCGTCTGACATTGGCTAACATATTAGGGCTAATAGTTTGGAAAGCCTCTCGTAATTTTAATTGAAACTCATCCAGGTTATTAGCCCTATTATTACCATACACTTTGGATTTTACATAACCCCACAAAAATAAGTCATTGGGAGAAAGATCTGGTAATCTAGCGGGCCACAAAATAGTTCCATATCCACTAATTAAACGGTTGGGAAAAGTATTGTTCAAATATTCTTGAACAATACGGGCATTGTGGGCAGGACAACCACCTCAGCAATTTGATTACTTGAAAACGTGGGATTTTGATCCGCGGTAGCACAAATGAACACTTGCTTTAACTCCTGTTCTTCATTAATCAACACATCAGGCTTTTTGTGTTTTTGTGGGAACACGCACTCATGTGTTTCAAAATTATTAATAACTCTTGATACAGTAGGTAAAGATGGAATTGGCCTGTTTACAAAAGTTTGTGGAAAAATTGTTTGTATATTCCGATAAGACCTATTTTGGAAATACCATTTTACAATTTGAATTTTCTCACGAACTTCGTAAACATCCATTATTTTACTTAAAAATAAATTTTACACGAGAACTGTCGCGAGAATCTATGTATTCGTTTAGGCTATTAAAACTCGAATAAATACAAATTCTGAAACATTCTTATCACATATCTACCTATTTCTATTTTATCGCATTTTTTCGCCTGCTTTCTATCCGGCCGCGGCGGTACTACTACGGTGGTCCGGTCTGTATATTCATACTTCTGTTTCGATCTTGGTAACAGTATAGGTGTTTTTCGTATTTTTAGAGACTTCTCAAAAATTCTTTTTTACATGATGCTAGAGACCAAATACAACACAAATCCATGTGCGCACGTTGAAATTTTTTTTACTCCTCTTCATATCGAGCGTTGGGTGGGTTGGTTAGCGTGGTTATTTAGAAGGTGTTAATTCATTGGTTAGTCATAGGTAAATTAATCATATAATTACCTGTGACTAACAAATGAATTAACACCCTCCAAATAACCACGCTAACCAACCCACCCAACGCTCGATATGAAGAGGAGTTCGGCTCAACTTGCCTTAACATCAGAAATTCAACGTGCGCACACGGATTTGTATTGTATTTGCCTATTTGGTCTCTAGAATCACGTAAAATAAGAATTTTTGAGAAATCACTAAAAATACGAAAAACACCTATACTGCATAATTACCCGATCTTGCTGGAAGCAATTCAGAAATCGCTCTGAATGTCGCTTCTTCAATGTCAGAGGGAATACTTTCCGAATCGCTCATTTTTTAAACTAGTGATATCAATATTATTTACTGTTATATTGACATTGCCATGCATGGTGTTATTTGAACAAAGGTATTAAGGTAATTGATTTTTAGGATAGGTATATAGGTTAAATTCAATAATTTTTAAAATTCATTGTCTGTTTTTATAGTTAGAAGTAGATAAAATAGTGTACAATATACACGTTCTAAAGTAACTAAGGTTCTAACAAAATTTCTGATGAAAGAAAAAATTAAAATTCTTAATATTATACTTAATTCACTTATAAAACAAAGTAATTTTATTGCATTCCTTACTGAACACTCTGTTTAATTTGCTTGGCCAAAAATAAAGTTAATCACAGCATTGAACATTAATTAGCGCTATTAATTGAACAAAACAAGATTGATTCTTTTTCGAGAATAGGTGTATTTTGTAAAATACTAGGTAATAATTATATTTTTACATTTTATTTAAGCGTTTTTCCGGATGTTTAGTTGTTTAAATTTCTATCAATAAAATTTTGATGAGCATTGAACATAAAAATTCTTAGAATAAGAAATACAAAAGGGAGCTAAAAATAATTTGAGAAATTGTTTCAATTTAGCTTTTAAAAGAGCAAAAAATCAGAACACTTGTAGATTATGTATGGCTTTTAACCGTTTATATTTTAAAAAAGCCTCTTTTTTGTGTGTATACTATACCTACCCTTAGGGTACCTACCACAGATCCTTTAGGTAGAAATCTACGCTATTGAAAGATACGTAAAAATTATTTTAGGTAGGAACTATCGAAAACAGAAAATAACCGTCTTATCAGATAGTCAAGCAACCTTAAAAGAGATCAACTAAGTAACTATGAATTCGAAGCTGGTCCAAGAAATGCCTAGAGAAACAATGACGCCAGTGATGTCAAAACTTAAAAAAACGCTTATATTAAGTCTACGTTACCAAATAAAAATTTAAATAAAAAAACACCGTGTTTACATTTTGCCTGTATATACTGGTTTTATAATACTTGTCGTTTTATTCATTAAAATATCAAAATAAAATACCTGACTATAGTTATGCTCTTAACTATCTAGTGTTAATTATATATTCCTTCAATTCTAATACTGTTTCTTTATCCTTGAAGATCCAATCTGGATTGCTTGACAAACAAACTTCAAAATAGCTTCTCTTAGCACAATTTCAAACTTCATATCGCACCTTTTAAGTAATCTTCAAGTATCATTAGAAATATGCATTCTATGATGCATCATTGCATCCAGCTTTATTACAAAGATGTCGTTTTAAAATATTTCTACACAGAACTATTTTAAAAGTTTTCACAATTCAACGGAAATGGATAATATGATCGTCATATCTCATATTCTATAAAATAATTTTAAATGGGGACCTCAAAACTGCTTGCCTTATATGAAATAATTGTATCAATTTGAGATTATTTCTGTTTGTTTTTTGTATTTAAATATTATTATACTAACTTGTGATTCTTGCAATTGTTTAAAACTAATTATTTTTATTTCTTTTCAGAAGTTTTTGGTTCATCAAACAAAAAACATGCCCGGCAAGGAGCATCCGCATTTTCGGTAGTATAGTAGTGGTTGCGATAGTGTAATTTTTAGTTGAGGATATACTCGAGTGATTGGCAGAAAAGCAGTGTAGAAAGTATTTGGTAAGGGATTTTTCTTTCAAATATTTTTTTTTATTAAATTTAAACAAGTTGAAAATCTAGTTTTGGGAGTTTATAAACGATTGCATTATAGTGAGCTTTGGTAAAATATAAATAGAATACGCGAAACTGGATCCAACTCAACTGCAACCTATCCCAATAAATAATAATTTTATTTGCATTGATATTTCAATACTGACATTTATTATGCATATTTTGTTGCACAAATAGTATTTTTATGTCATTTTTTTATTTTTAATTATTAATGCTATGTGTATCTGCTGTTTTGCGATAATAAATTAATATTGCATACTAATGTATCATAAGTCCCTGGACAAAATTATATTGAAATGTAAAACACTGGACATGGCCGGTGCTGCCACCATCGTAGAATATCGTAAACAACTAATATATACAAATTCACGGGTTTAAATAGCGAGTATACGAGTAAAAGTGTTAGCAAGTATAATTTGTGAAAATTCTGAAAGTAAAAATAAAAAAGTAAATATTTTGATATTTTCAGGTCTAACTTGTATTATAATTTATTATTGAAGCTAATAAAATTTTACTTTTAATAAACGTAGATGAGTTCAGCTACAGTAGCTAGCATAGTTTTACCACAGTATAAAGGATATAAATAAATGTATTTTTATTTTTCTACTTGCTATATTACAATTCCTTAGTATATTTAGTTGATCCCTCGTATCCGGCCAGCGTTCTGACTGATAAAATAGCACTTCTGCTGCACCCGGTAAACGTAGAAAGTTTTTGTCACCTCGAAGGGTCACGGGCCGCCTTTGAAGTCAAAATAACAATAGAATTCCTTAGAGTGAGCCAACTGTATATATTTATATTCTTTAAACTGTGGTTTTACGCACCGATTTTGCTAGCAGAGACATAACTGGGGCTATTTCGTAAAATACTTGAATATTATGACCAGGCCACGATTTTAATATTATTTTAATGCGATTTCAAAACTTCTAATTTCTGCCATATCGGGCGCAGCGGACGGAATTTTTAGAATCAACTGAAATATAACGAGCCTAAAAAAAATGGTCAAGTGCGAGTCGGACTCGCGCACGAAGGGTTCCGTACCATTCATTATTATCTAGACAACATTAGACACTTACTTTAGAAAATCTTACACAGCCAACCTGAAAAATAATGAAACAATATAAAAATTAATAAGTAATTGAAATGAGAGATATACATATTAATAGTGAGAATATACAGAGTGTCAAAAAATAGTTAATCTAACTTCCGTGGGTGATTCTACAGATAAAAATAAAACAAAAAGTTCTTATGAACATATGTCCTAAAATGCTTCCCGAAGAAATTACAGCTCTCGAGGTGAAATAAAAATTATACAGGGTGAGTTTCCTACGATGTTCTCTATGGGTATCTCGGAAACTACTGGAGATAGAGAGTCGGGGAATGGAGGATGAATTGTAGTTTTGTGGGGTCATAAACATGCGCCTTTCAGATTTTTGAAAAAGTTCATGGCTTACAAGATATTTGGAAAAAAAAAATTTGGCTATTTTAAAAATTGTCCCTAATTTCATTATAATAAATAAAATTGGACTAATTAGACAGCTATGTTGTGAAGTAACGTCAGACATATCACAGATCACGGCCACCTAGATTTTATCAAATATAATAAAGATCTACTAACACTAAATCATAAAAATGAAAATATCTAGGAAAATCTTTGTTTGTGGGGTAGGCAACCTTAATAGTATTTTGAAGAGACATGAATTCCCCATTGAACACCGGAATAATATACTGGGTGTTCCATTTAAAATAAAGGATAAACTTGCTTTTACAAGTGACCAAACGTTTCACATTAATTTTGTCTCACCCTGTATAACTTTTCAGTCCAAATTTTAATTTGATTAAATATACAATAGTTATTATAATTAAATATCAGGCTATACAGGGTAAATTAAGAATTAGGTAGCTGTTATCGAAATTTAAAATATATTCTACATTTTCTCAAAATGTGAAACATGTATGTCAAAATTCCTTAGAGTTTAGGCATATGCTTCTTTAATAAAACCCACCTTTATTTTTATTCCAGAATCCGAAAATCAATTAATATATAGGGTGTTCCATTACAAAAAATACAACTTTGCTATGTAATTTCTTTGCTATGTGCTCTGAATTAATCTACATATGCTCACAAAATTTCATTTCAATATAAATTGTCGTTCTCCTTGGAGCCACCGTCTCGTATGTGAGGCGCCACCCTGTATAGTAATCTAATGTAGTCCACTACACACAGATGTACACACATACTACCTACATTTAAAATATGACATCACGTCCTGTACTTAATTCGCGCTCTTTATTTACGATATAAATATGCTCTTTATGAAAATGAGATAAACAACAACGACATCAAACAGCATGAATAATTTATAGTTTAATCGTTTCAATAAACTATTCTTGACGAATCCATTTTGCAGCTCTAATTTCCATATTAGCGATTTTATCAGATGAGTAATTATGTTTTAAGCGCCGCCGGATTAATTATGTGATATGACTGATATGATAAAGATGAACAAATTAGAGGTCTATTTAAATTTGACCTCAAAACAACACATTCGTTCATCTTTGCATCTTTTTTACTGCTATTAGGGCAGCAGATGGTAGTTATCTAGCAATAGCAATACACAAGTCAAAGACCTAGAGATTTTTGCCTAGAGATGGGCAAAGGTTGAATGAAACGTTTATTTGAACGAGTAAAAGGAATAGTCTCTCTATTCTCTGGAATAGGAATTTTCTCAAAGGTATGATCGAAAGAAAACGGCGTCATGATGGCTATGAAATTAAGATCGCTGTCATTTTCATATACAGGGTTGTTCACCACATACGACACGGAGTATTGTAGCTAAATGGTTTGATTTTTACAAATTGTAAGTTTTGGGTAAGAAGGACCATTAGAGCTACAATTTAAAAATATTTTTACAGATTACAGAGTGTCCCAAATAAATAAAAAATATTAAAGTTGCATTTTTTTAAATGGAACACCCTGCATATTATTGCATTTTTAGTTTCTACGATTAAAATAAAGGTAAATTTGATTAAGGTTTATTACACTTAAACCTTACCGTTTTTGAAATATTTTCAATTTTGCGAAATTGCAGTATAAATTTTAAGGCTTCATTTCTCCGAGGATATCAAAGTTTTTAATACTAAATATTTACTGAAGTTTATTTATTGATCAGTTATTGTGTTGCAATAATAAAAATTATACTACCTTATACAGAGTGTCTAAAAATTTATTTTAAATAATTACTAGCATTAAACGGCAATAACTTATTTAATTTAAATAGAACACCCTGTATATTTTATGAGAATCAGATGCACAATTTAATTGTCTATCAAATTGTATTATACCATTTCTTATCTATTCCTTCAAGTTTTCGTAGAAAATGCATTTTCTTATCATTTAGACCTCATTTATCAATATACCCATGGAATATTGACATTTTAGATTGTTTTTAAAACAACAAATGTACAAAATGTACAGGCTAGTAATATTATCGTTTTTAGTAAAACGATAATATTACTAGCCCATTTGTATGCGAAAAGAAAACTATTTAAATCTTTATAAAAGAGTATACCGTTAATTAAATATAACACCAGTATTTCCGCCCACATACTAATTTACTACATACTTAATTGTGTTCGTTAATAAATTATACTAAATAAATGTGGATTTGAATCAGAAATCAATATAATAATAAGTTATGAAAATGAACGTGTCTGTTGTTATAAATAAGCATTTGTCAACAAATTAAATATCATTGTTAAGGTGTTACTTTTTACCACACTGTCTAATACACATACATAATTCAGTTTTTTAGTATTTGTAGCAATTATTACTAATCAACGCAAACAGTCAATTAATGTAGTTTGAATACTGGAATCATATTAATTGGTCCTCTTTAACAAATATTTAAACAGTTTTTTTTTTATTTTTTAATGAAATAAACGAACTATATCGACAATATTAGTATCTGTACCTACTCTTTAAAAATTTGGTACATCTTTAAAAATAATCTAAAATGTCAGTATTCCATGGGTATATTGATAAATGAGTTTTAAATTACAAGAAAATGCATTTTCTACGGAAACTTGAAGAGATAGGTAAAAAATTGTATAATACAATTTGATACACAATTAAATTGTGCATCTGATTCTTATAAAATATACTGGGTGTTATATTTAAATTCAACAAGTTATTGCCGTTTAAAGCTAGTAATTATTTAAAATAAATTTTTAGACACTCTGTATAAGGTAGTAAAGTTTTTATTATTGCAACACAATAACTGATCAATAAATAAGCTTCAGTAAATATTTAGTATTAAAAACTTTGATACCCTCGGAAAAATGAAGCTTTAAAATTCATACTGCAATTTCACAAAATTGAAAATATTTCAAAAACAGTAAGGTTTAAGTGTAATAAACCTTAATAAAATTTACCTTTATTTTAATAGTAGAAACTAAAAATGTAATAATATATAGGGTGTTTCATTTAAAAAAATACAACTTTGATATTTTTTATTTATTTGAGACACTCTGTATCTTGTAAAAATATTTTTAAATTGTAGCTCTAATAGTCCTTCAACGAACCCAAAACTTACAATTTGTAAAAATCTAATCGTTTAGCTACAATACTCCGTGTCGTATGTGGTAAACAACCCTGTATATAAATTTATATGGGAAATTTCATAGATCATTTCCCAGCTAGCTCAGCTGGACGTCGTTTCTACCATAAAAATAAGGTTCCTACTTACGAGAAAAAGTGATCAAATTAAAATTGCCTGATATACACTGTATGACATGTGTTAATTAGGTTAATTCATATGGACTAAATTTACCAGACATATATTTTTAAATTATGTTCATGCTTTGTCATATAAGGGGCTGGTATTGATTCCACTTTTCTTTTCCAGCTCAATCCACAACCATGGCGATCGACGGCAACCGTATCAGGGGCTGCATCCACAAAAACCTGCTCACCATCCTCACGGTGGTGGGCGTGCTTGGTGGCACGGCGGTGGGTCTGCTGATCAGGGCCATGTCTTCCTCGCCGTGGACCAACCGAGAGGTAATGTACCTGGCCTTCCCCGGCGAGATGTTCCTGCGGATGCTCAAACTGCTCATCATTCCGTTGCTGATGGCGTCGGTGATATCGGCCATCGGGTCGCTGGATCTGAGTTTGTCGAAAAAGATAGCGATAAGGTCAGTAGGTATATTCTAGATATATTTTATTATTACTGCTATTAAGATTGGTTAAAAAAGGCTTCTATCTTTTCTCCTTAAATATAAAGTACTTACTACCCATCAATTTGGATTTCTAAGTAATAGTTGCACAAATGATGCTATGTTCGACCTTTTTAGTAGTCTACTCTAGCCTGTGTAAATCATAACATCTTAATTAACAAATTGCAATACTATATGGATTCAGGGGAGTGCCGCTCGAATGGCTTAAGTCATATCTTGGCAACAGAAGACAGCTTCTGAGGATTGATACGTCTATGTCTTCTTGTAAGCCCTATGGAATGTGGTGTCCCTCAGGGTTCAGTACTTGGCCCTATTTTGTTTCTGGTGTTTATCAACGACATTGCAATTCTAGACATTAGCGGTAAAATCTGCCTCTTTGCGGAAGATACTAGTTTCACTTGGAGCGGTCCACTGCACTATATAATACCTACTGAGTATATCCAGTGACTTACGCACCATTAAATCTTGGTGCGATTCTAATCTCCTATGCCTCAATCTTTCAAAAACTAAAGTTTTGTCATATAAAAGTACTGTACAACCTTTTGTATTTTATAACACCACTATTGACGTCACTTGTTGTAGACAAATCGTTAAAATGGGACTTGCACATCGAAGCTTTATCAAAGAAACTAAGCGCTGCCTGTTTTGCGCTAAGATCAGTTTCTAAGGAACTTAACTTATCAACCTCTAGAATAGTATATTATGCCCTTTTTGAGTCGCATCTTCGTTATGCCCTTCCATTCTGGGGTACTTGCTGCCCGACAAAATTTGATCGTATTTTCAAACTTCAAAAGAGAGCAGTTCGATATTTATTGGGACTAAACAGTTAGAACTCACTGCCAGAATTTCTTTAAAAATTTCAAAATACTGACTCTTCTTTCTTTATTCATTTTTGAATCCGTTTGCTTAATCCGCAAGCACATATCTGCTATTCCCGAAAGGCAATCTCACAACTATCCACTTAGGAATGCGGAGCACGATCTTTATCTGCCAACCCCGAGCTCAGAACTAGTTAAAGGCTCAATACTGTACAATGCCAAAAAAATGTACAATCATCTGCATATCAAGTCACTTTCATTCTTTCCCGCATTTCGCAAAACTCTGAAATCATACTTATTGGAGAGGGCCCTATATGCGGTAAACGACTTTTTTGTTGATGTTTAATCATGAACAATTTTGAATTTTAAAATTTTGATCATCTCACACACTGGTTAAAGGTCTAGTATTTAATATTTAATATTTCTTAACTCTTACATGACTATGTATATCCATTTACAATTTTCCTATTGTAAAATTTTATTGATACGCCTTTTGACGGAATTTTTTTTGATTGATTTGTATTGTATGATATTTTTTTATTATTTGTATATTTTTTGTGGTTTTGTTTGTTTTGTAAATGCTTTGTCAATGAAGCTATTTTGTCTTTTTGTTCAATAAAGCGTTGTCTATTCTATCTCTATGTCTATTCGAACTGGTTAAATTATCGCCGACGATATAAACAATTGACGAAAGAAAGACCGCCGTTGGTCGGTTTTATACAGGGTGGTCTGAACTGTATTCCGGAAACTTTGGCAGCAAATTCTGCAGATAAAAATAAGTAAAACAGTTCGTATAAATGTATGTCCTAAAATGCTTAGTTTCGGAGATACAGGGCATTTGAAGTTTCATTATTATTTCGATTTTTTTCGAAATAATTTCTAAAGTAACGTCAAAATTTGGATGAAGATTGGTGTCTAGAAGTTTTTTGACTTGAGAAATTTGATTTTGATGTCAATATGACTCCTATTTGTAGGGGACGTCACCTGCATCCGTTTTAACTGGTTTTAAGAGTAATAATTGTTGATCCGTACCTGTATAAAGCCACTGAGTGAAAAAATATACATTTCCGTGATTTTTTACTTAAAAAATATCTCTTGGTAAAAATCGCGACGGGCAACCGTTCTGAAGATATTTAGAATGGAAATAGTCAATACATGTCATTATTTATAAAAAATAAACTGTTCAGCAGTATTAGTAGTTTATTGTTTAATGGTTATTTGACTGAAATAATAAATTCGGGAAATTTTTTTTTTAAATTAATCATAAATTTTTCTGCAAAAAAATGATGATAAAACAGTCTCTGCGTGGAACTTTTTGCCCAAAAATATTTTAAATTTATGATTTCAGTCTAATAACTAGGTATTTAGTCAACATGTTCAATTTATGTCAGTGATGACAGGCATTGATAATTTCGATTCCAAATATCTCAAGAACCATTACTCTTAACGATTTTTACCAAGAGACCATTTTAACGTAAACTCACTCCGTAGTTTTATACAGGTACGGACGAAAAGTTATTACTCTTTAAACCAGTTAAAAATATGTAGGTGGCGCCCTCTACAAGTTGAAGTCATATTGACATCAAAATCAAATTTCTCATGTCAAAAAAATCGCAGACACTAATTTATCTTCATCCAAATATTGACCTTACTTCATAAATGATTTAGAAAAAATCGAAATAAAAATAAAACTTCTACACCCTGTATCTCCAAAACTAAGCATTTTAGGACATACATTTATACGAACTTTTTTACTCATTTTTAGCTGCAGAATATGCTGCCGAAGTTTCCGCAATACAGTTCGGACCACCCTGTATAATGCCGCCGGATGACAGTATTTTTTTGTATACAGGGTGCTACAAATTCGAAGTACGAGCATTGGTATCTCGGAAACCGTAATAGATACCAAGATGGTTAAATTGTGGCAAAGTTGCGCCTTGAGATGTTCACCAAGATGCCATCAAAATATTTCTGAAAATTTCATAAAATTCTGAGTTTTTTGGAAAAAACGGATTTTTTGGAAAATCAATTTTATTTTTTCCTGTCGTTACTTTTTAGAAAAGCAAAAAACTAATTACACATTCTCATAGCCACTTTATTAGGGCTATCTGATAGTACTTTTAGATTTTCAAATTAGCTCATAATTTGTGAGATACAGAGGCCAACTTAATTTTTTTAAACATGGACCTGCATTTTTTATTTCAGATTTTAAAAGACCTCGGTCTCCTGAGTATAATGATATGCCACACTTGATACTTTTTTTGTTTTGGGTACCTTAACAACAACAAAACTAATTAATAATTATTTAAAATAATTTCAAGTACGACTCTGTTTTTTTTAATTATTCTAATATAATCTGATTATATTCATCGTAACAATAATCTTATTTATAGCTCTTTGAATAACTTCTTGTTATAGTTTCGAATGCATTTTGTACTCTTTATTGTAAATGTTGAAATTTATTGATTTCACGTTTACAAATGATGCCAATGATGCCCCTTTAGTTATTCCGTATTCAATGTTCAATGTTTTACCCCACATCATTGTTAAGTTTGAAAACTTATCAATATTGTAACGATGAATAGATTAAATCTTAAAAAAAACAGAGCCGGACTTGATATTAGTTTAAATAAATTATGTTCAAATGTCTCAAACAAAAAAAAATATTAAGTGTGGCATATCGTTGTACTCAGGAGACAATAAAAAATGCAGGTCCGTATTTAAAAACATTCAGTTGGCCACTGTATCTCACAAATTATCAGCTTATTTGAAAACCTACAAAATACTATCAGATAGCTCTAATAAAGTGGCAATGAGAATATGTAATTAGTTTTTTGATTTCCTAAAAAGTAACGCCAGGAAAAAATAAAAATGATTATCAAAAAATCCGTTTTTCCAAAAAACTCAAAAATCCTTGAAATTTAAAAAAAAATTTGATGGCATCTTGTTGAAGATCCTAAAGCGTTGTTGTGGTCCTCTTCAGAAGGGCCAACTTGTTGAGGGTCTTTTCGGGTGTGGAATTAATGTACACTGTTGTTTTTTAATATAACTTAACTTTAATTATGATAAACTAATTACAATAGTTACTCTGAGGGAAACTGTGAAAAATAATAACGTGTTGAAGAGTAAAAAGAGAGTTGAAGAGCAAAAGTAAAAGAGTGTTGAGCAAAAGAAGTATGTGACTGAAACAGGGTTTTAGCAAAAAAGTGTGAGGGCCTGTCTTGCAGTTCCTTAAATAATATCTAAGCTACAGAAATGCCAGAGGCGTACAGTACAATTTTTATATCCTTAATCTAATATTCAGAGCAGTGGACGACACTGCCCTAAACTTACATTGTTCAGATAGACAGACGTCTGCGAAAGCTATATAAATTTATGATCAAAATTCCCAAAAGTAATAGTTAAAGTTATCAATTAGAATTATATTGAAGGGTCGTTTATGACCTCAAAGGTATGAAGGTTTTTATTAGAGATGGGACATTCCTAAACTAATATTACAAATTTGATTAAAATGAGGACGGGATTATAACACCTCCCCCCTAAGAAAATTTTTTTTTCATAACAAAAAAAATTAAGAGAAAAAAAAATCGTCAAATTAAACAATAAACAATACACACAATAACTACACTATTCTTAAGAGTAAAAGTTTGAAAATAATTTAAAAAAAAAGTAAAAAACACTGAACATTTTAGTCTTTAATTAGTCCATATGAACTGATGGTGTTCTAGTCGAGCGTCGACCACTTAAGTTTAAAAATTCCACGGCTGAACGATTACTTGGGAGTCCACTTCTTCCAGCTTCTTCTTCCAATATTTGTTCGAATTGGGCCTGAGTTATTGGATTTGGAGTATTAATATTTGTATTAAATAGTTTAATACAGCAACCTTCAGAGAGGGTCCTGGGCTCCTTGGTACAACATAGTAATCTTCTTAGCAGGTTGAACAGTCCACACCATTTTAGAATATTATACAATAAGATGATCGTTACAATTGAACCAATTGCTGATAGTCCAACAGTGTACCAGTGTGAATGTTGCACAATAAATGGTTTCTTCAATTGTATGTCTAAAAGATCGTCCAACTGGTTAAGCTTGTGATTAGCGAAGTTCAGTTCATCCAATTTTAAATTTGTTATCTTCACTGGCTCGAGATTTGATGGGGTTAAGTTAAGTTCTTGAATTCTTATAACTTGAGGATGCTTGCATATGAATTCGTTTTCGGTGGTTTTCGTACAACTTGATAGATCCCACATCGCTACGTAATATATCTTACTAGTTTGATTACTGAATTGATTAAAGAATTTTGTATTTATATTTAAAAATTGTTAATTTAAGTTAAAACTTGTGAATACTAGCTTTAAAATTTTGAATAGTATTTGAAATAATTCTTATTTGTTGTTTCATAGTAAGTCGAGTTTCGTAATTAACGGTAAATAGTTATTTTATGGCTTGATCGTAAAATTTTGCATCAGGTATATTAAATAATCAATTAAAAGCGTAGGAAGCGCCATTAAAAATTCCTCTTTTCAAATTATTATATCAAAAATTATTATCGAGACCTGTATCTTCATTACTTATGACATAATTTAAAAGATCTTTAATATGCGTGAGAGAGCGAATTTAGTTTATCATTATAATAAGATAAATTTAGGTGTGTGAAAAGAATGATTTCAGAACCGGATATCTTTGCATTTCCCAATTTATGATAATATATTCCCGTTTATCCAGGTAGATTAATGGAAAAAGTACAATAAGGTATAAAAATAAGGCGAACATTTTAATCTGAAACAAAGGGTTTTATCATGTTAGTATGATAGATAATATGTCTTTTCCCAATTTGAATTTGAACATTTTTTTCATTAAGTACTTTTGTTATTTTATACGGGCCTTTAAAATTAGGGGATAATTTTTTGCTTAAGCCTGGAGAAACTTGTTTATTTAATATATATACTAGGTCATTAGGTTTATAAATAGTCGTTTTAATTTTTTGATCGTAATATTCTTTTGATTTAAGCTTTGATTTAATTATATTTTCTTTCGCTTGGGTTTGTGTTAAATTAAGTTTTTGTTTGAGACTAGTTACATAATCATCGTATGAATAATTAAATTCTGGTTCTTGAGTTAAGGTAGTTGGAAGGTAAGCTTTATTACCGAATAATAATTCATACGGTGAAAAATTTGTTGAAGTATGAATATGTGTATTATACGCAAACATTGCAAATGGTATAAGTTCATCCCAATTATTTTGTTTATTATTTATATAATGTTTAAGATATTCCTTGAGCGTAAGATGCGATCGCTCAAGAGCACCGTTTGTTTGAGGGTGATATGGGCGACTGGTTAAATGTCCTATTTTAAATAATTTAAAAAGTTCTTTAATTAATTTGGACATGAAATCACTTCCCTGGTCAGAAAGGATTTTAGTTGGTATTCCGAACAGTACAATGAATTTAGTGAGTTCATTCGCTATAGTATGCGCTTCGTGATTTTGAACTGGAACAGCGTACGAGTATTTAGTTAGGTCGTCTTGCATTGTAAGAATAAATCTGTTTCCATTCTCGGTAATGGGTAATGGACCAACTATATCAATCGCTAATCTTTCGAAGGCCTTTTGGCTGGTGGATGTAATTTCCATAGGGGCCTTATTTGGTTTATAATTAGTTTTATTTATTTGACACGAAGGACAGCGTTTAATATATTTTTTGATATCTTTCTTCATATTGTTCCATTTATAACTTTCCTTAATCCTTTTATAAGTTCTGGTATAACCAGAATGTCCGGCTAATTTAGAATCGTGATTTTCTTTTAATATTTGTTCAATCTCTTCCTTAGTCTCAGGTTTATACTTTTCTCTATTAATGACATGTACGTTAATATTAGTATCTTTAAATAAATAATGAATTATTTCGTAGTACATAGATTTTTTTTAAATGTGTACAATAAAGTGAAATGTCAGGTAAATTTATTGTTTTCATATCATCTTTTTATTAACTGAGTTCTTAAATTACGTAGAGAATAAAATACATCCTTATAGCTTAATTTATCAAAATGAAAATGTTTTGTAATCATTAAATAGCATAATTTATTTTGATTTTTTAATTTGTAAATTGAATATAAATTAGGAGATATTATCTGATTAATATTGTAGTCAAAATTATCTTTAATGTGTTGCGAAAATGGATTATTTTCGTCCAGATCTGAAGAAAAATAAATAGCAGCAGGTAAATTATCGAATAAATTTGAGTTTTTAATATCAAGTTTCGGGGTAATTTCTGAGGTTTGATAATGATATTTAATAAAATTTTGATAATCGTCGTCTTTAGATATTATAGTAATGTTGATATTTCGTGAGAGAGCATCTACATTAGAGTTTATTCTGCCTGGTTTATAAACAATCTGATAGTCATATTCGTCTAATAAAAGTCTCCAACGAACTAATCTACTTCCTGGGTCCTTACAATTAAACAGCCACGTGAGAGGTTTATGGTCTGTTACTACAGTAAATTTCCTTCCATATAAATAGCAACGAAAATGTTTTATTCCATAGACAATTGCCAGTAACTCTTTTTCTGTGGTCGAATAATTTTGTTCTGCAGAATTCAGAGTACGACTAGCATAAGAAATGGGTAAATCTTTGCCTATTTCTCCTTGACTTAGAATAGCCCCAACGGCATAATTAGAGGCATCGGTAGTTAATATAAACTCTTTCGTAAAATCTGGGTATTGGAGTATAGGTTCGGTAGTTAAAAGAGTGCGAAACAAGTCAAAAGATTCTTGGCATTTATCAGTCCATATAAAAGGTACATCCTTTTTAAAAGTGATGTAAGCGGTTTGGCTATCTTTGCAAAGTTATTTATAAATTTACGGTAGTATCCTACTAAACCTAAAAACATTCTTATGGTTTTCTGATCCTTAGGTACAGGAAAATTGAATATAGCATTAGTTTTTTCGGGATTGGGTTTTACGCCATTTTCTGAAATAATGTGACCTAGATAGGCAATTTCTTTTCGTAAAACTCACATTTATCAGGTTGTAATTTTAAGTTATTAATCCTTAATCTTTCAAAAATATTTTTAATACGTGATATGTGCTCGTCAAGAAAAGCGCCATAAATAATTATATCGTCAAGGTATACAAAACACTGAAGCCCTTGTAGTCCGCTTAGAACTGTATTCATCAATCTCTGAAAACATGCAGGTGCATTTTTTTAATCCGAACGGCATACGGTTAAATTCATAATGCCCTGTTGGTGTGCTGAATGCTGTCTTCATTTTGTCGTTCTCGTTCATTGGGATCTGATGGAACCCAGACGCGAGATCAAGCGTAGTAAAAAATTTACTGTGACCTAATTGATCTAGTATATCCTCTATGTTAGGTATACTTAACGCGTCGCCTACAGTGATACCATTTAATCCTCTGTAATCGACAACTACACGCCATTTTTGTTGTCCAGATACATCTTGTTTTTTAGGAACAATCCATAGAGGTGCAGACCAAAGGTGAAATCGAAGGTTGTATAATACCTTGTCTCAACATTTTATCTATTTGATTATTTACTTCAGCTTTATGTATTTCCGGATATCTATAAGTTTTTGCGGATATTGGTTTTTGATTAGTTAAATTAATTTCGTGTTTCATAGTTCGCGTACAAGTTAATTTATCGCCAGGTAGGTGAAAAATATCATTATATTCCGTACATAAATTTAAAATCTGTTCTTTTTCCTCAATATTTAAATGGTCTAGTCTAAGGTTTTGATTTAATAATTTATTTCTGCTAAATAAATCTGTTGAATTAGTAAAGATATTAAGAGTTTTAGCATTATTATTTAATGGTTCTAAATAAACTGAAAATGGTTTAATTCGTATTCTGTTACTCTAGTGTTTAGAATTGTAGCAAAAAGCTTTTTATTAGAATTGACCTTAGTAATAGCTTTTGATAAGTAAATACCCTTTCGAGTTCTAGATTAGGTAATATTCCTTCGTTTAAATCAGAGTTTAATACATTAACTTCAATAACAGTTTCTGTTCTGGGCTTTAAAATAAGATAATTATTATTATAAGGATTAATATTCATTTTTAGATGTAGCGGAAAAGGTAGCGAGTCAAGAGAAATAATTGCTTTTTTAAATCAATTTGGGCGTTTTGTGATTTAATAAAGTCGTATCCGATCAGACCGTCATAAGGGACGTTTGTTTTCTGATTAAGAATATGGAACTTTATTTTCAATGTATGATTCCTAATATTAAATGGAATTATAGTACTACCCGCCGTTAATACAGGAGAATCTGTACTTAAACCGTGTAAGGTTAATTTCTCGCTAGGAAAAAATTTAGTAATTTCAGGATTTAACTTATCTAATTTGATTAAAGATACACTAGCACCTGTATCTAATAAAAATCGAAATATTTTATCTTTATTATTAGAAAAATCAGACTTAAATTCTAAAAATATAGAGTTGTTATCGTCACTAAGAATTTTTAGTTTTCGAAGACCTGTAACATTTTGATCGATTCCTCCAGAGGGGTCTTCTCCGCCAGAGGAGCATGGGAGTTTAAAGATAGTTGATTATTTGTTACGGATCTAATATTCGATACTTCATTAGGTATTTGATTCTGATTCGATACCCTGTTAAAATTTTTATTTTGTATATCATTAGGATTTTTGTTTTTGTTAAATACATTGTAAGAATTTTTATATTGCAATTTCCTACATTCATCTATTGTATGTCCGTACTTTTTACAATATTTGCATTGTTTAATATTATTATGTTGACTATTTGAAGAAGGTTGATTAAATGTATGATTAAAATTATGATTATTAGATTTATTAGAATTGTTAACATGAACTCGGTAATTTCCATTAGATTGCGGATAATTTTTACAACAATTATTTGTAGAATGCGAATTGTTACGACATATTTTACAGTATTGGTTGCTTTTATTAGTTTTTAACATATTTAATATCCTTTCTTCACAGAGGGCAGCATTATGAGCCTCCTTAATGCAATTAAATCCTTTATATCTTAACATTTGTGAAATTTCTGGTTTAGAATGGTAAATGAATCTGTTTAAAGTTAATTCGCGTATTGTTTGAGTTTTACCCGGTAATTCGGCATCGTTTCGATAACTCTGCTGAGCAGAAGAAATCGTACGATGGTATAAAACTTCTAAACGTTGAAAGAAATCATCTACGGATTCATTAGAATTCTGTCTACAGTTATTTAGTTCTTCTATTAATTGGACATAATGTTTTCGCTCTTTATATAAATCTTTTAACTTTTGTCGTAAAATTTCCCAAGATTCAAAGCTTTGTGTTGTTAGTTGCTCTTTTGCTGTACCTGATATTCTTGATAATATAAAATATAATAGAGGCAATTTTTGATTTTGACTGGCTAACTCATTGGCACTATTACAATTTGCCAAAAATTGTCCTAATTCGTTTCTATCACCGCTAAATCCGAAAGGAATCAACTTACAAATAAAATCTAACGATAATGGATCAGTATTCGAATTGGTATTCATGATGAATTTTGTTAATAAATTTAGTTAAAAAAAATGATTAATAAAATTTTGTAAAGTACTTTTTAACGGAGTTAAAAAAAATACTAGTAAGTTATATAAAACGCTCGATACAAAATCTAAACAAATATACAAATTCCACTTACCAACAGTATTCTCCTGGACCAGTTTCCTGTTTTCCTCCTTGAGAATCCTTTTGTCCCGTACTATCCGTCCTGTCCGCAGCGCCAATTTTGTTGTGGTCCTCTTCAGAAGGGCCAACTTGTTGAGGGTCTTTTCGGGTGTGGAATTAATGTACACTGTTGTTTTTAATATAACTTAACTTTAATTATGATAAACTAATTACAATAGTTACTCTGAGGGAAACTGTGAAAAATAATAACGTGTTGAAGAGTAAAAAAGAGAGTTGAAGAGCAAAAGTAAAAAGAGTGTTGAGCAAAGAAAGTATGTGACTGAAACAGGGTTTTAGCAAAAAGTGTGAGGGCCTGTCTTGCAGTTCCTTAAATAATATCTAAGCTACAGAAATGCCAGAGGCGTACAGTACAATTTTTATATCCTTAATCTAATATTCAGAGCAGTGGACGACACTGCCCTAAACTTACATTGTTCAGATAGACAGACGTCTGCGAGAAAGCTATATAAATTTATGATCAAAATTCCCAAAAGTAATAGTTAAAGTTATCAATTAGAATTATATTGAAGGGTCGTTTATGACCTCAAAGGTATGAAGGTTTTTATTAGAGATGGGACATTCCTAAACTAATATTACAAATTTGATTAAAATGAGGACGGGATTATAACAGCGTAACTTTGCCCCAATTTAACCATGTTCGTATCTATTACGGTTACCGAGATACCAATGCCCGTACCTCGAATTTGTAGCACCCTGTATACCAACAGTACGGACAACAATAAGGATAGAGGTAATATTTTTAAAATAAAATATAAATTTGGTGTCAGTTTTAGTTGCATCGTGACACAATTAAGTCATAATATATGATCGCTGGCTTCTCTAAATTACGTCAGCTTACAACACCTGATCTCCGAGACCGCCGCAGCGTGGCCCTTTTTTCGAAAAACAAAGCTGGAGCAATATTGCAAATGTTGCATCATTCTTATAAGTTTAGTCAGTTAAGATCGACTTTCGAACTGTTCACGTACTTTTAAGCTCCGCGCGCACTGAATAGGTATTGGCGAGAGCGAGCGGCACGTAATTTTCAGTTTACGTTGAAATAAATGTAAGCCCGCGCACTGCATCAGATCGGTGCGCTCGGTGCGCTCGGTGCGCTTCGAGCTATCGGCGTTACTCGCACCATCAGGCGAAATCAAAGAATGCATGGGAGGGGGCGAATAGTCTACGCCGAGCGACTGTTTTTAGTGGAGCGGTTTTACATTAAACATGTCCGATGAATTATTAATCGAAAGTGTACGAGACCATATCATACTTAATATGCGGTTTGTGATAAAAATTTCTTACAAGCACGTAACCTATATTGTTTACTACACTTATTCAATAACTGAATTAGAAAACCTTCCGATTAAACCCATTTATTTCTCATCTCGTTTTGATTATCTCACATTATTTTGAAAATCGAATTTAAATATCGTCAAAAAACTTATCATATTATTTAATTTTTGGTTTGTTTTGTCGTTAGTAATAACAGCTGATAAATAGTCATCCCTATGTTACTATGTTGATCGCTCCGTAAAGGTACAAATAGAGAAAATAATATTTATGCTTGAATAAAATATTTGTACATATATCTACCGTATGATAGAAAAAAACGGCGTCCAGTTGGATGGGAAATGACGATTGATGACATTTCCTATATAAATTTACATATAAAATGGCACCGACCTTCATTTCATGGTCATCGCTAATGCCGTTCCTTTTCGATAATACGGTACTATAAAAAACTATTTATATTTTTTATTTTTTCAATTTTCTTTGACTTTTTTATTATGTTTTAAGTTTTTAAAATCTTGGTTTTAAGTCAGTAGTGAATAAAACGAAAGTTGTGTTTACATTTTGTTTAATGATTGACGTTTCGACTAATTTTAATTCGGTCTTCTTTAGAATCTATAATATACAATACAATTTTATCACTAACAATGTGTTTAATATATAATTTTTTTCTTACCACAAACGTAGAAAATTATTTATACGTATATTATAGATTCTGAAGAAGACCGAATTAAAATTGGTCGAAACGTCAATCGATAAACAAAATAAACAAGTTTCGTTTTATTTACTGACTTAAACAAAGATTTTAAAAACATAAAATAAAAGCTATATATAAATGTTTGTAATGACACTTATTTAGATTAAAAAACTAAAAATAGAAGTTTTATTTGACTATTTTTCATATCTAGCTTTGTTTTTAAAGAACAAATTAAACCTTTTTGAATTATACCAAATTTGTTAAAATCGGTCAAGCTAAGAGTCATGTAGTATATTTTATCCCCATCTTCTACTCTATTTTACTAATTTTATGTGGTTTGTTAAGATCTAAATATATTAATGTGTGTTTGGTTAAGATCTAAATAATATTAATTTCCATCATAAAGTATAAAATATAAAAAGTGGCATAAAAATATAAATAGTAATAATACTTTATAATTTTTTGAAATGCCGAATGAATTTGACTAAATTTGAATAAACTTCTCCTCGTCTATGCTCAAATTTATGCTGGTGACGTACTCTCGACCGCCGATCGTGCGACTCCAGTGCGCGGCTACAATCGACTTTCCGACCGGTCGTGTCGGTCGCGCCGCTCGCACCGCTCGCACCGCTCGCTCTCGCCGATACCTATTCAGTGCGCGCGGAGCCTTAAGGTTGTCGCCCGCTAGACTGCGGCGCGACGCGGCGCGGCGCCGTGTGGAAATTTCTTTTGTCTGCTTGCCATGTATTTAAATGGACCAACGCACATTAGAGCGCGCAGCGCAGAAGCGCACCGCGGGATTTCCGTCAAGAGTCGGAAGACTTCTCTAGCAACTTTTTTCGGTCTCCCGCGGTTTGGCGCGTTGCAGTGTGCGTACTCACAAGGGAAATAATTTTGCATTCGAGTCTTTTCAGTTGGCTTTTTGACTAGGAACTAGTGATACGTATCACTGGTAGAATTGTATTTTTAAAGGTAAATTAGGCAAATCGCTTTTCATAAAGAAATATGATATTTTTTTTAGTCTTCCCTCACTAGAGACAGATGGACGAAATGCCTTTCTATCAAAGATTTAATATAATTGAGGGGTGTAGAGGCAAAACCGGCAATCTCCACTTTTTAACAAAGTGACAATCTCAATTTTAAATTCTAATTACCTAAAAATATAAAAAGATCAGGGTTTTTTCACCACATAACTAATATACATCAGAATAAATAAGAATTATCAAAGAATTAGTAATTTGTCTCTTATGAAAAAATATGATGAGTAGAGATACCCGGTGTTTTGCTTCTAAAACCCTCAATTGAGGAGTGCGTAAAATGTTTCCTTTATATTTTGTAATGCTGAAAAAAAATTATCTTGTTTTTATTTAAATCTGGAAAAGATGGTAAAATTCTCCAAACTTCTTTCTTTTTTTCTTAATCGTATGAGTCCAAACTTTTCCTCACCCCCTCTTCCTCTTCCTCTGTTAGAAGAGCACAAAAAATACGCTTTCGTTCGTACTTGAACTCATTGCTTTAAAAACTAAACTACAGTAAGTAAAAAACACTTCGACTATAACTAAATAGCGTTGCCGCGTTTCAAAAGCGCGCTATAGTGGGCGCAGTCCCTTCGCAGCCGGAAAAAATTCTCTTCCCAGCGCCGCGCCGCGCAACGGTCTAGTGGGCGACAACCTTTAAGCGGAATAAAACGTATTTTTGAGGAATATAGTGGTTTAATTTAAGTAAAAAGACTAATTATCTGTCCCTAATCTAACATATATAATATTCATTAGCATGTAAAATAAAGAATCAAGATACACAATCAACTGATTGTCACTATTCATTTTTAATTACAGTAATTTGCATCGATCTTATAAAAATGCAAGGCTAAGTCCATAGATTTATCGGAGTAATTATATGTTTACTCGTATTTCACAGCTTTCCACCTACCCACACAAAAATTTATTTTAATTCTGAATATAAATTATGAATTATCTAATGAGTAGGTGTTAGGTTTTGCTTTAAGACTACTGGATTACTTAGTAAATTCTAATAAGGGCTAGACAGATAGAAAAAAATCAATTTGAGAAATTTTTAATATTTTTTTTTCAGAATTTGATGTGTTTATTTTCATAATAGAAGAAGCATTTTAGATGGTTCGATCACCGTACATCGGTGATTCAACCTCTGTAACCATTATCATATTACTATACAGGGTGGCACACCTTATTCGCCTTGGTTGATTATGCGAAAACGGAAAGATGTAGAAACAAAATATTTTTTGGGTATATGTGAGGAGGCAATGCGCACAATTTAAAACTATTTTGAACTAATTTGAACTATTTTGAACTAAGATACATACCAAAATTATATTTTTTCTTATGGAACATCAGGTATTTTATTTCATTTTTCGATTCTTGGGCCTAAAAGAAGGCATTTATTATAGGGGTTAAATATGTTTACAATCTTTGGTTTTTGAGATATTTAAAGATATTTAAATTTGCATGCTATAATAGAATAGATTATTAACACCCTGTACAGGGTGGGTCAAATTCGACGTTTTTAAATGGAAAATACCCTTTTCTATAGGAGATAGACGAAATCTAATATCGGTGTCTGGAGCTCAATTTTCATCAAAAATATGATGGTCAAAACCGCATATCAATATCTGTTACCGTTTCGGAGTTACGGGGTGTTTTTCAAAAATGTGCATTTTTAACAAATCGCTGTAACTTTTTTGTCATGGAAAATTTTGTATTTCTATGAAAACATTTCCAAAGCACCGTTTTACGTAGAATTTATTGGTTTAAGTATAATTTTTTTAACATTAATAATTTAAGAGTTATCAACAGAAAAATTGATTTTTTATTTGGGACACCCTCTATATTTTTAATTAATTGTAAACAATTTAAAATTACCTTTCCAAAAATATAGCACACTTGATATTTTGTTATAATCCCCTTCGAAATACAGAATTTTTAAAAGTTCGCCATTTTTAACTAGTAGGCT